TTTTTTTTTTTTTTTTTTTGCACCTCCAGCGATGTGCTTCCCGCGCACAGCCACTTAAACGTTCCTCTCGAAACCCCGATTAACCTTTCTCTCTGTAGGTTGTCCACCACTTTTACGCAAGTTTCCGGAACGTATCAGTCGATTTTAATTTCGACGGAATTTCGCCAACCTTACGAAAACCCAGGGGAAATCCTGTAACTTCCTCTGCTTAAGCTGTTGCCCCGTGAACCTCTGCTATGATTACATTGCGTAATAATATTTGTATATATTTATATATTTATAACTGATATTTATATATAATTATAAATATATAAACTATAAAAATTAGTGTTTGTACATATTTGTATATAGAATATTTATTACTAGTCAGTTTTCAACTTTGGAAATTAACTGTGTCTTTACGTGTGGAAAATTGTGATTTTGTCAGGAGACAGCAGTGGAATTGGACTTTTTCCTAAACTTTTTTTTGCAATTACTATTTATGTAAGTGTGATATCAATTTTTGGTAAGTCCAATTATTCTTGAACCATTTTACTATCTACTGATACTCAGTTTTGGAAATTAATTCGAAGAAAATAGAGTTATTAAAATTAGAGAGATTTAATGCGAATGAGGAAGTCGCTAAATGCTTCACTTAATGATTCGACAATGGGAAAGTTCAAGCAATTTAACTTTAGAAACTTTATTTATTTCTGTTAATGAGTAAAAAATGGAAGAAAATTGTTTTAACGAGTAATAAAATAATGAACAAAAATTAACTTCGCGTGGGAATTTAGGAACAAACGATGGAATAATGATCACGATCGTGGTTTAATTTCCGTTAGAAATTGAACGAACGTTTTAAAATGAAAATGAGGAGTGTGAAAATTTGATAAAAAATTGGGGATCGTACTTATCTTAAATGAGAAGCATGTCGGCTAAGCTCCGAAGCTTAGACAACCACCCCCACTTTGTCTTCGTTATCGTAATGCGAAACGTTTACTAACGTCACGTCCCGTAAAGTGAGAAATATGTATCTTACTTTTTCACGCAGTTTCATTTTTCTCGGGTTTTGCATTCGTATGATAAAAACTTATTCCTCTTTACGAAAGTTTTAGAGGAGATACTCGACCGAGATTCTTTAGATTTAACACTCGATATTTTATAATTAATTTCTGTCACAGTGACTCGTATAAATTCGAACACTGTATTGTTCTATATACTGGTTTATGGCAATTTTGAATATTTTGTAATAATTTTGAATATTTTGTAATAATTTAAAAGATTGCTTCATGTACACAGTTTTTCTTTTTCTTTTTTTTCTTTTTTTTGCAACTAAATGACGATGAAACGTGAAATCGTAAAAATATTTTTCGATAATGAACAAGCTTTACTAATTTTATTAATTTCAAGTTGCACGTGCGTAATGTACAGTCATTACAAAAATTCTTCTCGTATGTTCTCGCCTAATTGTTTAATTTATCGCTTTTCACACAAAATGTTATGTATACAAAATAAACAAAGCTTATATTTCTATTAACTACAATCAGTGCTGTAGTATATTAAAAAGCTGTAATATTGTGAACAGTAAAATATACTGTTACAAACAAATCTTTCTTTATAAATAATAAATAATGAACAGTAAACGTACTATTATAAACAAATATATGGAACAATAATCTTTCCAACACCACCGTGTTCAAATATTAACAAGAGTCACCGTAGTTAATTAAACTTCACTATTACGTTATTGTTCTATTTTAATAACCACTTAACTGTTTTGATTAATAACGCAGCTCGGTTTTATTGAAATATTTCAATGAAATAATTTAATAGATGAAACAATAGATGAATTGAATAGATGTTACACCGAAACAGCTCTCGGAAAATTCACTACTGAAAAAAATCGTTGCTGAATAGAACCGAAATCACGCTTCGAAATTTCAGTGATCATGCATTTGAAAATTTATCACGCGTTAAAACGAACGAGTTTTCGCTCGAAAAACAGTACCGTGTATTTTCGAAAAATTTACGCTCGATTCGGGCATGAAATATGAAATGAATAGCAGTCGCGTTTCCTCGCAACGTAACTTGGTGATTTAATCTGACAAATTATCAGACCGCGTGCACGAAAACCCGAGTATATACGTTGTCAGACATCTGACAACTTTCCCATGGCAATATTTCCCTTTATCGGCACACTGAGTCAATGTGAAACGCGTTTCTCAAACAATCCTCCATTGGAGGAAAATGAAATGAAAATATTCAATTACATTCGCTGTTACGAAGGATACATAATGTTGGAGAGATTGCGAGATACAGAGAATTTCATTTGATGTGAGTTTGGAAAGAATTCCTGAGGAATTCAGAAAATTTAATTTACAACAGCACCAATAAAGTTTGCTAGGAACTTTGAATCTGAAATTCTGAAACTTAGAAATTCAAATTCAAGGCTATTTTACTGACTATTTCACGAATTTCTTCGTGAGTTTTCTGTCTCGTTGATTTTGTTCCTTAAGGGAGAAAACTCACATCAACATTATCCAGACACTGAAACATTGGGACTGTTATGCTTTCGTGAAAAGGAATCACGCGGTATTAAACTTGGGCTCGTAAAAATAAACTGAAATACCTAAATGAAAAAGACTCCCTATTTCTATTTTTTGAAATAGAATAAAATGAAATACTACAAATGTACAGAGTTATATACGAATATCAAACATATCTTATAAGATTCTCAATATTTTATCCATACTCTGGAATTCCATAATCCACGAACAATATTCGAATATTAAAATCAGTCGTATTCAAATTTCATTGCAAGTGAATGCAACAAACATTTCTCCGGAACATTTTGCGACAGCCTTCCTCCAAAAAAAAAAAAAAAAAAAAAAAAATTCATTGTTCACGAATATTCGCTGCAACGAGGAAACTTGCGTAAAAAGCAAAAAAAGGAAAAAAAAATAGAATGGTGGAAATACAAAAATACTTCCGAAGCACCAGTAGAGTCAGACGCTTTTAGTCCCTTGTCGTTCGGCTTCACTGGAAGAAATGTATTCGATAGATGCAAAACGAACTCGGAGCGAGGGTTACCACAGCTTGCCTTCAGCTTCACGGTCAGAACGCGAACGAAGAGTACGTGCTACCACCTGGGGCGGAAATTGGAACGCCAATGTTCGAGTTGTATCTGGCATTGCAGGATTTCGTAACGTAATTATCAATGAAATCATCATTATTATTATTATTATTATTACTAGTAAAAAGTAAAATCGAACGACGTAAATTCTTAAAATTGAATTATCGAATGGCAATCTGTTCTTTTAATAAAAATTAGCAAAACAATTGATTTTGGAAGAAATTTGAATATCAGCATTTTAAAATATCTTGTTCGTTATGTGAAAATTGAATGGATCGTTTAGTTCGACAGTGAGGGATGTAAGTTTCGAGTTTTTGTCTTGAGAGTGTGCAATTCCATTTAGCAATGACTCCAATTGATCGAAACGAATTTTAAAAAAGTATTGAATATTAAAACAAACGGAAAACACTTCACCATCAAAATTACAATGTTTCGACCGTGAAATGAAAAATTCATATTAAAATTTACGCGAGTGTTTCGTTTTTTTTCGATTCTCCTAAAAAAAAAAAAAAAAAAAAAAAAACGGATTTACTCAGATTTGTTCAGGATTTCAAAATAAATCCGAGTCCAACGATTTAAATTAAATGAAATCAAACAGTGGGATACAAAGAAAGAGAAACATAGAAAAAACGAATCAAGGGGAATAAAGAGAAATTTAAAAATGAAAATGCGAAGAGGAAGTGAAATCTTTGATCTAAAATTGCCATTGAAATTCGTCGTTTCGAGGTATTTCTGACAAAGATGGGGAACAATCACGTTTAAGAGCAACGTAATATTTTTCTCAGCATGAAGGAGAACCTGCCGCAGTCCGATCATAAAACTTTAGCCATTTGCAAGTATTATGAATGGTTCAGACCAGCTGTCGACAAATGGTTGGATCTGGCTAAATTGAAGGCGATTCAACGCGTGAGAAAATCGGCTGAACTCGATCGGATCTGCCCTGGCGAGTACATCGTGAAGCATAGTACATCTGCCATTGACGTTACAGCTTGCTTGTATCAGGTAAAAGAGACGTTTAAGTAAACCATCAGACTCCTCAGTATTTATATATGCACAAGCATAATTCTAAAGTTCGCAATAATTGTAGATTAAGGAATTTTGGAAAAAGTTAGCGTGGCCGGATCTTCCTGGATCGTACAATTTGGTCCTGAAAGTTGTAGACGTGAGTAATCGATTTGATTATCGACGAATGTCAATGATGCATCTCTGAGATCATTTTTCAAACAGGCGAGGCAAGTGCAAAAAATGTGAAATACAAATTGGAAGGGTTCGTCATGTTGTTAAAATGATGTCATAAAATACGGAAGAAAAATTCATTGCTTCAAAGCTGAATATCTTTTTATATTTTTTTAATTCGCAGCGTCAGATCTGAAAAATTGTCGAATATAAATTGAAATATAAATAGTCAAACTTAAGACTTAATAAGACATAATTATATAGTAATTTTCATGTAATTAATCAGCATTCGTTGTCGAAATAGAGAAATTTTCAATGTAATGTAAATTAATTTCGATCACGGGAATTCGAGCGGTTCGATTGATAAATAATTTGTCTAATATTTATACTTCCGTTACAGGCGATCTGTAGTTCAGCAGCCTATTACGCAGAGATAACCCATCAAAAATTGGCAGACAGTGGTTATTACGAGGAACAAACGCCATACAAAACAACAGACGAGGTAATCGCTGAGGTAGAGACCGCTTCGCATTAGTATGACACGACACTGCTTCGCAAACATAGTTTCTAGTTGTAGCAATAGCAAAAGAGAACACATTTCTCGTATTTTTGATGAACGAGACAAACGTCTCTCTAAACACACCTGAAACTATTACACTCTGCTTGAATGTAAAACACGAATATTATACAGATAGCAACAGAGGTAGCAATTAAATTTAATGCTGCACAAAATGCTAAAGCTTTTCTTCCTGTATCCTTCATGCAATATTTATTTATTAAAAGAAACATTATAATTACAATATTTGTAATTATAAAATTATATAAAATTTGCGTTTTCAATAATAACTGTAAATTCATTTATGAAATGAATTTTATCGACAATAATTTCGAAAACTTCTGAAAATATTTCAAACTAATTAATCAATTTTTCATCGATAAATGAAACTAATTCGGGACTCGTTTCTCGCAGATGTGCGTGGCTATTAACGGCCTCGAGTACGTTCAAAGATGGCTTTTGAACTTAGGCGAGGAGTTGCTGGTCGAGAAACTTCTAACAGCTTTGGAGTGTCAAGCTGGCGATTCCGCGCGAATGCAATGGAGAACCGTTTTGACGTCACCTTTGGAACAGACACCGGGACAAATGTTGCTGTTCATAAATCAAATCGTTTCAAGGATCGGTACAAAGGTCAGGCATCTAGAGCAAAAAAAAAAGAAAATGAAAGATACCGAAACTGACGATTGGAAGTGTGAATTTTTTAATAAGTGAGTTCGATCTGCCCACTACTTGGTTTCAGTGCAAAATGAGGGAAATATTTTTAAAAAGATTTCGCCACGAAACTGTACTGCTGATGTTTAACAAATTTGTTTCATTAGAAATGGCAGACTATGATTGATATTATATTATAATAATACTGTAACTAAACTAAGCGGATTTATTCATATTTTTATTAATTTCATACTTTTCGTTAACATAACTGAGGATTTATTTCATTAAATGTTTTAAAAAGCACATCACATTTATCATACGTTTCTAAATTTTTCCTAGAACACATAAAACTTTTCTCATTGCTTAAACATTCTTAAACATATAATCGTCATATAACTTTACTTCAGAGTAATTGCAGAAAGAATATTTATTAAAATTTGCATTTTTAGAATTCTCATAAATTAAGAATAAAGATCTAGATTTCGTTCCGTTAAATCTAGATTCCACACGATCAAGATGAACGATGTTCCTTCAAAAATTTTCAATGGAAATTTGAAAAGAAAGAGAAAGGAAAACGAAGTATCGTGTTAATTTACAGATGAGACCACCGTTGAAGAAGGCTATGTTCCATCTGGCTTGGTCACCGGACAGTTTACCCACCTCGGAGGCTATCGCGCCGTTGCTCGAGTATTTAGACATGCACTTTGTGGTGCTAAACTCGACGCTGCTTATGGTGAATTTCAATCGAGTCCTCCAAGACATCTGGGAGGTGGTCCTGGCTGAGCTCAGCAACCAGATGGACGGAAATGCCGGTGTAAGCAGAATTTTCACACCATTATTCTATTTTTTGTTACAAGAAAAAGATTAAGTTATTAGTATTAATAATTACATTGAATAAGTAATAATTGATATTGGTATCTTTAACATTAAAAAAAAAAAAAAACTGTTTTCTTGTAGAATAAACCAACAATGTTTTACGAAAGACTTTACGAAGCTCTAGATTTATTGGTGAAGTTCTTCCATGAAGACGAAAAAGGTTTACCGTACGAAGTGCTTCACTGTCAGAGCTTCCTGAACGTCGAGGAACGCCTTCAGTATCACAAGATGGACACAACGTTCTTGATCGACCGATTCTATCGACAACGACTTCAGGTTGCTATTGAATTCGATTCTTCTCTCATCGCGGACACGTAGTGAAAAATAATTACATTTTATTCGTACGAGTTTCTTAAACCATTAAGAACCAAAACGAGATGAACATTGTACGTTTCGGTTTCTTTTCACAAAATTGTAAAATTCCATATGAAAAATATTTCGAACCTTTGAAGTTGACCTTTCACGGCTAAAAATGTTAAAAATTGGATAATGCAAATTTCAAGGAAAGAAAAAGAAACGTTACTAGTGAAATAATGAACGTGGATAGTGAAAATGACAAGTTTTGTCTTTTCAGGATCAACTGAACACCGTATCGTCGGAGTATGGCGTTCTAACAGTGAGAGCTTATCTAAATCATGACTCACTGTGCGTGGAGGTGATAAATGCCAGAGACGTGATACCATTAGATCCAAATGGTTACAGCGATCCTTTCGTCATAATCGAATTGCTGCCACGAAGAGTCTTCGAATATTGCGCTGAGCAGCACACCAACGTCAAGAAGAAAACTCTGAATCCTATGTTCGACGAGTGTTTTGAATTGTAAGTAATCGCGAATGAAATTCTAACATCGAACAGCACACACTCTGCTGGTAATAATAATTCCATTCGTGTTAATATCTAGCAACAGAAAATAAAATTTTACACATTTATTGTACTGCAAAATTGTAATAATATTGTAAAACAAATTTTATTTAAGTTCACTGTGATGGTAACAGTGTTATACTATTTTTTTAATTTTATTTTAAATAATTTTATTCTGAAACGAATAATTGATGAATTCCCAGTAATTTTAATATATATATATATATATATAAAGACTTTAATTAAATTAATTAAAATTTTATATTGTTCAATTTTATTATTAACTCTTGTTGTTATTTATGATTTAATAATGATGCAAAAAATAATCAAATTATTAATAAAACTATGAAAAGGTATGAAATTTTTCTACTACAATGAAGTATTTCACCTTTGAATGTAATAATCGACTTTTACCACTGAAGTCCATTTTAAAGAATTTTTTAACAACCACTCATTACAAACAGTCTTGCAAATAACTTTACTGGATGTATATCATAATGAAATTTATAAATCATATGATGAATATTACAAAGAAAATACTGTAATGAAGTGTTACACCTTTGAATGTAATAATTGACTTTCATCACTGAAGCTCTTCTTGCACGCAACAGTACAATTTTACAGTACAATCTTAAATCAAAAAAAAGTGTCGCAATCTAATACGTGTGTATTTTCACACACTTCTTCGTTCGAATATTTTACAAATTTACGTATTTATCTTATTGATTTGAAACATTTCTGCCCGTAGCTCCGTAAGCGTGGAGCAGTGTCGAAGTCCAGACGCGATGGTGTTGTTCACCGTAATGGACCACGACGTGCTCACGGCGAACGATTTCGCGGGCGAAGCATTCTTGGGGCTCAGCACGATACCCGGTGTTACCGACACGAACACCAGCATAGACAATTTCCACGGCCTCAAGCACACCGAGTTACCCCTGATGCATCAGAAGAATCGAAGTGAGTACGACGAACCCGTATAATGAAGCTCGAATGCGTTCGTTACCGATCTGCTTTCCACAATAGCTCGGGAAATATTCGAACAGAAACTGTTTGCAACTATTTGCTCTTGAGCAATTCAATTTCAAACGTTAATATGACTTTTAGGGCGGTGAAAGAGCGAGCGAAGAATTTCATTAAACGTAACGTGATTTTCGCAAAGAGTGTTCCACTCGAAAGGAATTATTGATTAATCGAATGTTTCACGGGCTTTTTGCGTTACTCGAAATTGATCGATAACTCCTTCAGCTGTACTACGTTTGCAATCAGATTGTTGCAATATTGTTAAGATAACATTGTTTTGTTCTTTTTTTTTTTTATATAACGTTACATGCAGTCATCGACTCACCTCGTAA